AAAAAAAAAAAAAAAAAAACTACAGACTAAGAACCCGTTTTCTGGCTTCGCTTGCACGATTTGAACTTTTGATCAGTTCCATCCATCCCCAACCCTAATGAACCGAATACGAAGGGGTCAATGTGTTATGTAAAATTTATCCAAATAATAACAGAATTGGGGACCGATAATTTTGTTTTCGAATATATAACTTACAAAAAATATAAAAATACGATATTATGTTGTCTGTTTCAACCTTTCAATGATAGTGATTCAGATACATAATTTTTCTCTTATTTTCTTGTTATTATAAAATATTCAAAAAATAAATAATATACAACATTATAATTAATATAAGGAAAAATAGCTGGGATAAAAACACAAAAGACTTTTATATAATATTATTTATAAAAAAAATAAAAACACAAAACACTTTTATACTATGTACCAATCAATTATAATTGGTACGTAAAATCCTGTATTATATATCAACCAATTATATCTGCTACCAACTTTTTTCCTGTTAATATTGGTTTTGTACTAACTTCAAGTTATATTTGGACAAAATCACCGCACCCCTTTGTCAACTGAGCTATAACTTCAAGCTATATTATATGAAAACTTGTCATTTTGTTCAAATCTTGAGTTTTCCAGTCCATACCATAATATGCAACTTCCAACAACGTCTACTTACCAAGTTTGAATATTTGGTAGAGATTGGTTGCTTATTTTTATTTAAAAAAAAGAACTTTTTTTGTCCCATTCACAATATGGTTGCTCAGATCTTGACAGAAGATAGGTCTTAGTTCTTAAGTATTTTACTTTAAAAAAACAGAATAATTGTTTTTATTTTAATCCTAACATTTTATTATTTTTAAACGATTGCAAATAAACCACATCTGTTATTATCAATTTAATTTTAACAACTTGATCACAACCGTACGATCAAATAAATTAAACAGTTATAACATAGCCTTAGCTGCCAAATAATTAAGTAAAAAAATGTCTCTTCATATTGGTATTATTAGAATCGAGTTCTACATAAAACTGGTTGAAATTAACAGATTAACTTTTTATCTGAATTTCTCGATATTCAAACAGTCAAATATTTATATAATTTTAATTTTAAAAATGGGTTTTATATTTTTAAAATTTTAAGGGGATGAAGAATAATATATTTTTGAAAACAAAACTTTGTCCTTGCCATGTGCTTGGTGGTCATGGTTATTTGAGGCCATTCCAAGTGATTTACAATGCATCCCACATCATATTCTTTTTTTTTTTAAATTATTTTTTAAATAAAAATTTGTATTTATCATATCTATACTATATTATAAAACATTTGATATAAGTTTTTAAAAACCATTTTTGTAAATGAAGTACTGTTTATTAATGCATATTACTTAAAATTTAAGATTACAAGTAAATTGTGCGTAAGTACAACTTATTAAAGCTMCATTTTTGAATTCGTATAACTAACTGCAGATAAACATAATCAAATTCCGGATAAATATCTTACTTTAAATATAAATTTTTTAAAGTATAATTAGAATAATCATTGAGTTCTAACAGAATTCTTAATTATTATCCTTATAAAAAATAAATTACTTTGTTATTAAATCTAAACTAAATTATATAATAAAAAAAATTGAATTTAAGACATTACACAAAATCAATAACTTTTAAATAGTTAATTTGATACTACTATTGATATATTTATTTTCGAAATTTTATGATATTTTCAAATTTATATTTTATTCAAAAATAAAATATTATCTCCTTCTTAAAACCATATAAAAACCGTATTATGACATCTTCAAATAAAAAATAAAACGAAACATTAAAATCGAGATATATCTTGCTGCATTGCGCGAGTACCGTTATAGTTTAGAAAAAAGTATTTACGTTGAGATAAATTATTTTTCTAACTACAAATAGACCGTCATTTATATTTGATTTATTTTACTTTTTATTCATTTAATTATACTAATAAAAGAAAAATAAACTGAAAAATCGATTCCATAAATTGAACGATTAAATGAATCAACATCATCTCAAAATAATACTGTAATCGTGTTATGCGGATCTGCAAAATACAATATTTTGTTGTTTATAATAATACATGTATTACTTTTAAAAAAATGTAATTACAGATGTAAGGTAATTGCAAATCTATACACACATACACCCCCATGTATAAATCTATACTATATTATAAAACATTTGATAAAAACTCTTAAAAATCATTTTTATGCATGAAGTATTGTTTATTGATGCATATTACTTAAAATTCAAGATCATAAGTAAATTGTGTGTATGTACAAATTATTAAAGCTTTGTGTTTGAATTCGTGTAACTAACTGCAGATAAACATAATCAAATAGAGCATAAACATCTCATTTTAAATATAAAAAATCGAAAATATAATTATGATAATCATTAAGTTTCAACAAAATACTTAATTATTATCTTTATGAAAAATTATACTATAAAACCCAAAATAAAAAAATGAGTTAAAGAAATACACAAAAAAAGAAAATTTTTAAATAGTTAGTTTGGTACTAATATCAATAATTTTTTTATGAATCTTCATATTTATATTTTATTAAAAACTTACAACATTATCGTTTTCTCAAAACCACATAAAACCGTATTATAACATCGACTGAAACAAAAAAAGAACGAAACACTAAAATCGAGATGTATCTCGCTGCATTGTGTTTTATTATTTTAACTATGTTCTCGTTTAAACCCATCTCTCTGTATATTATTGACAAGGAAGAAGGCTCCACATTTCATTGTTCTGGGCTTTACTCTGAAGGGCTAAAGTTAAAAGCCCATTTGCATTTTGGGAACCCATTTTCATTTAAAGGCAAAGATTATCGAGTCATTTAATTGTACATTTATTAGCAGTTGGTTCAGATGAAACGACTAAATATTGTGAGAAGAAAAAAAAGGGAAGGTTAAGAAAATATTCATATGTGAATAATTGAAAAAATCTACTTGAAGATGTATATATGAACCCATATTAATAATTTGTAACGTCAGTTCACGTATACATGTTTACATAGATTTTTTCCGAATATTTTCGGTGATTTACATGAATATTCAATTTTTACTTTCTAACGATATTTGGACTTCTTATTTGAACCTGATTATGACAATAATAACCATGAAAAAGCTAAGGATTCTGTTGTTATCATGTCATGAACATGTAACTTTACGATCTTTAAAGTTTAGGTAACTATATTTTAATAATATAACTGATGTTTCTTGTTTATAATTTTGAGAAATAACTACATTCAGTTATTTCTACCGATGTTTTTTATTATTAACCTGGATATCCAACCCTCTATGCGAGCCGACTAATCCCAGGGAGACCACCTGCTTTGCAGATAGCTCGGAGTCACCGCATTTGAACATCCGTGGCCAAAAAGGGGATTTTTATTCCTCATTGGATTCGAACCTGTATGAATACGATTTTCTTAAATGTATGACTATTTTTGTGATGAAATTTTTAAATAAATAGGCCATCGAAATAAAACGAGGTCATAGGAAAGTAGAGACTACTCAACTTTCAAATTGATGTCGTGTATGCCAAATTTTACTGAAATGACTAAGAGAAACTTTAAATAGTTAATGAGAATAAGGAGGAGCCGGAGCAGGGATATTTCCCCGCTGATGATCAGAAGAACAGGGATTCGTTTTCGTCAAAGTTGTGTGTAAGATCCCATATTGGTTGGGGAGGGGAACAAATGTTGCATTACAAGGTGTTTGATACCTCTTCACTTAGACATTGCTTTAAAAACGTGAGTTCAGATGTATGAATAAAACAGACAAATCTGATACGGTTAGTCTGGATGTTACTTTCTGAGAGGGAGGCGTGAGGGGAAGCGGGTGCAACCAGTGGCAATGTAGCATGTAAAGGGTGGGGGGGATGGGCCCCATTATTTTTTTTCATCCTATATTACATAGGTTAAAACAATTTTTTTTAACTTTCCATCATAGTTTACCCAGTAATTTCCCCCCACCAGTAGGAAAAGTATCCCGAAATCAACAAAAAATGTCTCTTGAAATCAATTAAAAAGCCTGTAAAAATATCTCAAAATCAACCAAAAAACTTCAAAAATCTTTTAAGATAATAGAATTAGACTAAAAACACACCAAACGACTTTACATGCATTCAATCTGATTTAGAACCGCCCCCAATTAACAAAAATCCCGATTTGCATCAACTTGTGGTGATGTGCAGTTGGTGGGGGCGGATAGGGGGTGTTATAATGGGGGTCATAAAAGTCGGGTCACATGCTGATTTTTTCGTCATTATAAAAAATCGAGTCATAGTTATAAACTTATGTTTTACAGTTCAAATATTAAAATTTGGCCTAGCGATATATGAGTCTTTGGACCCCCAGGAGGTTAGGGGTTCAAATCTCACCAAATATGAGAAGGATGTGTGAGTTTATTTGTTCTATTTGCTGTATATAGATATTATATACTTCAAAAAAAATGTTACGAAGGAGTTTGACAACCTAAAGAAAGAAAACAGATTGCATATCGACCTTTTTCTCTGTCAATTTTTATTTTTTAACCACGATCACCATAAAAGTGTCATGAAAAATCAAAAAGCTAACCATAAGGGTGGTACCTAATTGGTTTGAGCTTGACTCTAAAGGTCAAAAATACCAGGATGTCTCAAAGTTAAAATCCAAGTAGGAATAAAAATTCCCTTGTGACCACGGAGGTTCAAATGCGGTGACTCCGGGCTATCTGCAAAGCAGGTGGTCGCCCTGGGATTAGTCGGCTCGCATAGCGGATTGAATATCCAGGTTAATCAAAAAAATAAATAAATCGAAAAGCAGATCGCTTAAACACCCTATTGAAGCGACCTAAAAACCAAATCTGTTATATTGACACAGGTCCTTACAGAAAACGTATTGGACAAGCATAACAACACTTTTAAGATCAAATCCGAGTGTTTCATCCAGAATTTGAATCATCACAGAAAAACATAAAATACATACGATAGAATTAATCAAAACATTGTATTTTTAATACGAAATTACATGTTCCTAATACTTTTTCCTTCTCATATTCAACCAAAACAAATGACGGGTATGTTCCGTCACGCCAATCCGTCAACAACTACTTTTCAATAGTTTCAGACGTTGAACCGTCTTCATAAAAGATCTGCAAAATTCACATCCGTGGATAAGAAGGTAATTTTCCTCAAATAATCATTATCGACATTGATTAAAGTTTAAGTGAAATGACTAAAATACCCCCAAGGCACGTCTCCTGCAAGCAACCAATCCCCTTCTTTGTCTTGATACGTAAGTTTCACGTCTTCGTTACCTGTTTTTAGAAAACACAACGTTATACGATACATATATAATACTTTAAAATGATTGATAAACAATTTAATATAAAAATTTATTTTCAAACTACTACTTTACTTACAATTTATTAAGGGGTCGTTTACCAAACACTTACCCGGTAAGCGGTTACCGGTAAAATTTAACAATATTATTTATTTACCGAATAAGATTTTAGTTCACTAAAACGACATCATATGCAACAATTTATCCGGTAAGCGCTTACTGTGGTAAGAGTCGTCGCCCTCACTTACCGGGTAAGACTCATGATCCTTGTCTTGCTCTTAATTACCGGATAAGATTCTTGGTCCTCAACATATTTATCCTGTGAGGTAACCTGACTTAATAAATGCTTACCTAGGTAAATATTTGGTAAACGACCCTTAAATCAATCACTAATTAATTATAAATATTTTTTTCTAATTAAAATGAAATTAAATAATTATAAACTTACACTTCCCAAACATGTGGGCTAAGGTGTGGGTGAGTGTATGGTAAGAGTAGTGTAAATTGAGGTCAATCTTTCTTGCAATTCCAACTCCTTCCATCTGCACCTTAACATACATCGACTTTGACCTCCCGTCACCGTCGCTGCCACCACCACCACCACCATCGCCACCACCGTTCTTCTGGCGGCAAAGCCTCTTCATACTGGATCTCACCGGCGGCCACCCGATCACCCCGTTCTCTTCTCCACAATTTCTAATAAAAACCGCCACAAATTATACAGTAATTGTTGCAATCATTTATGTACGACAAATGCAACAAATAAATTCATACACCCTCTTTACCGTTGATTAGTTTTGTATATGATTTAAACGAGCATCACAAAAAAGAAGAGAAAAGTGATGTAATGTACTTGTGATTCATGAGGATGAAAGTGGATTGAACATCATCATCATCATCATCATCATCATTGTCATCATCTTGATGAAGAAGTTGTTGGTTGTATTTAGGGTTGTTGCAGAAAAGGAGTGGGAGTGTTTGAGGGATGATGTGGAAGCCACCATCATCATCATGATCATGATCATGATCATCATCATTAACATGATGGCCATTAACAGAAAGCTTCTTCCTCCTCTTGAAATGATGATGATCTTCCATTTGGATGGGTTTTGGTGGATGGATGTAATGGTTGAGATCCAACTGGGAATGAGAAGAAGAAGAAGAAGAGAGAGATAAAGCTAACTGAAGCTCCATTTTTTCTTCTGTAAATCAAGTATAAACAGTATGCTGCTGTTACTTAAAAGGGATTAATATCAGCATGTACTGTCTGATATTGCCTTTCTGTCTTTCTCTCTAGCTATCTGTCTGTATAGGGTTATACGTATATGTGTGTATATATATATATATATATAGAGAGAGAGAGAGAGAGAGAGATATAGAGAGAGAGAGGAGAGAGAGACAGGTGGATCTTGGAGTTGGATTTTGTCTCACATATTGAATGTGAAGATGTGTGAAAGAGAAAGTGGTAGGAGGGGGAAGGCATTTGAACCAGAGGAGTCATGCATTGTACCAACATTAATCTCCAAACATATATATGTATATATTTTTAAATTATTACATGTATACATATATATATATATATATATGTATATATTTTTAAATTATTACATGTATACATATATATATATATATATATGTATGTATATGACTTTATTCTTACAACATGTGCATCAACAACTTTATTAGATTATTTCTTTAAGAAAAACCCTTGAAAGAAAAACACACACATATATATATATATATGTATATGTATATATGTATGTATATGTATATATGTATGTATATGTATATATGTATGTATAGGGAAAGATTCAAATGAGAACACTTTTATTTTATGAGAATACGAGAACACTCTTTTACTATAAACAATCACATGTGATACTATTCTTCCATCACATGTGATACTAAATCAGAGACGCAGACGATTTTCAATGCGATCTTGGTTGCGGACCAAGTTGCGCTTACACCACTAAGCCCCCTCACAAATATTATCACATGTGATAAGGATGTTGTTGATATGATACTATAATCCATCAAGACCATCACATGTGATGCTAAATCATAGACGCAGACAACCTTTGGCGTGGCCTAAGTCGTAGAACACGTCGTTCGCATATCACAAGGTCCCCTCACGTGTATTATGACATGTGATAAGGGTGTTCTCGCGTTCTCGTAAAATGAAGGTGTTCTCGTTTGAACCTCCACTTGTATGTATATGTATGTATATGTATATGTATGTATATAAGAAATGATACAAATTTTAGAGCATTTTCAACATATATAAGAGAAGAAAGTAAAACATATATTAATGGAAAAAAAGATAGGTTGTTTCTATATAGTATGGCATTTTATATTAGCAAATGCGATATAATCATTCATTGAATTGGATGTTAAAGTTTGGCAGTCAATTTGTAACGATTGGTCTAAGAATTTCTTTGAACATATGCACTTTTAAGGTGGATAAATGATCTGTAAAATCTTAATTTGACGTGGAGAAAAGTCAACGTGGTTTTTTTTTATTAACATGGATATCCAACTCACTATACGAGCCGACTAATCCCAGGACGACCACCTGCTTTGCAGATAGCCCGGAGTCACCGTATTTGAACCTACATGGCCACAAAGGGATTTTTATTCCTTCTTGGATTTGAACCGGAGACCTCCTGGTACTTTTGACCTTTGGAGTCAAGCTCAAACCAATCAGACACCACCCTTGTGGTTAAAGTCAACATGGTTTGACCCAGGGAAAACTAGGTTTATCAATTTTAGAAATAAAAAAATATATTTTTTAAATGAAATCAATTTTGATCTTAAAATAAATATATGTTGCCTTGAAATGAGGTAAAAAACAACGATAATATATTTTAATAAATATAGTGATGCTATTAGTTTTCTAAAACCATCACTTCGGTTTATAGATACGTTTGGTAGGTTTAAGGTAATATATTTTAGGGTGCGTTTGGTGCGCGGACAGGACAGGACAGGACAGCTGTTCAGCGTTTGGTAAGACATAACAGGACAGGACATGACAGGTTAAAATGACCAATTTACCCCCAGTAACATGTTTAGTGTTTTTTTCTCTAAACAAGATTTATATCTACAAGGTCCACACAACAAACATGTTGCTGAATTTTGGAAGACTGTGACATGGTCCTAGGATCGATCAAATTTGCAAATGAATCAAGTAGCATAAATCAATCAAGTAGCATAAATCAAATTTTGCATTGAAAGCTGTTGGTCAAAGGCAAATGAAATTAACAGGGCTAAGCTGTTGGTCAAGTARAATAAGAGTGAGCTAAAATGCCCTAAACAGTTGATAACAACAAGAACCCTAGAATCAAAACCCACAGAAATTAACAAGAAATTAATCATCATCAAAACCCACAGAAATTAACAAGAACCCTAGAATCAAGAACGAAAGGAGATGTCGTTCACTACTCACAGATCGTTCACTACACAGATCGATTGCATACCTGGGTATGGAGAGAAGAGAAGCGATGGAGGCGATGGAGGCCGTCGATTGAAACTCGCCGTCGATTGAAACTCGTCGGCCGTCGATTGAAACTCGCCGTCGACAGGAGGAATCGATGGAGACGATGGAGCGATGAAAAGGGTTAGGTCGTTCTTCAATATTGCAGCCGGGTGGGAAAAGGGTAAAGAGGGAAATATGGTTGTGTTCCACTTAGTTCCAGAGGGGTAGGATGGAACACGCGTGTCCAAGGTTTATCCAAGTTAGTTCCACTTAGTTCCACATTGGGCCACACCAAACACAAGACAAATGTGTTATGTCCTGTCCTGTCCCACCCTGTCCAGCGTACCAAACGCACCCTTAATGAACATAGTGATGCTATTAGTTTGAGTTGCCATTGTTGAGCATATGTTAGGCTTAGTAGATAGGTTGTGAATATGACTATCATTGGTATTACTAGAATGTTTTAATTGTTAAAAACAAGCATTGAATATGTTTGATTTACAGCCGTTATGCTGCTGAAGTTTCTATATATGTAACCTCACCCGTTTTTGTTTTGGTGAACCATATGAGCGATTTCAATCGCTTAGGGGTGAGTCACAGTCTAGTACAGACACCCCTCCCCTTGATGAGACATCTCTTTGGGAGCAGAATGTCGGAGGACGGAGGAAGGGGTGCATCTTTGTTTTCGAGACCTCCCAAGATCCCTCTTATGCTATGACGAATAGATGTAGCAGTAGCACCGGGAGATTATACGAGTCAACGGAGATATGTTGGTTATATTGTTATATACTTTCTCATTACTTTCATTGTGAACAAATTACTATTTTGTCGAATATTGAATATTTACAGGTAGTGGAGTTAAGAGAGAAGTTGGCAAGGGTAGAAGAGGAACTAGAGACCGAATGGAAGAGTAAGGCTGATTTAGAGACCGAACATCCAGACAAGCTGTTGCGTTAACCGAACATGCCGCTTTATCAGGGCATTTTTCTGTGTTTATGCTGCAATCATGATAGGTTTCTCCCACCTCCCGGTAGTTAGATTGTATGAATTTAAATCATATGAATTGGATATTGTAAATTGTACGAATTGATTAGTTTTAATTTGTTCACAGTTCTGGTTTGTTATTTTATGGACAAGTTTTGTATAAATAAATATATGAATTATGCAATTATAAATTATTTATTTTTAGATTAATAAACATTAACGATGGATTAACGAGGGAAAATCTGTCGCTAAAAGTCCCTCCTGATCCTCGATGATCCGTCGCTGAAAGTTTCTCTCGCTGATCCGTCACTGAGAGTTTCCCTCGCTAATCCATCGCTGAAAGGTTCCCTCACTAATCCGTCGCTGAATTATGTCGCTGATAGCATTACCTATGAGCTCTTGACCGATGGACTATCAGTGACGGATCAGACGGAAGACCCCTTTAGCGACGGATCAACTTGTTTAGATATATATATATATATATATATATATATAGGGTTAGGTTCACATGAGACCATCTTGTTTTTGTGAGACCCGTGAGACAATTTTTTTACACTTGAAACTTCACAACAAAACGTTGTGAAGGTTAAAAAAAACTGAACCTTCATAGCAAAAGCACTGTGAAAGTTAAAAAAAAAACTAAAACTTCATAACAAAAACACTGTGAATGTTACACTCACAACGCTTTGATGTGAAATTTCAAGTGTAAGAAAGTGGTCTCACGAAAACAGGTTGGTCTCACGTGATCCTATGTATGTATATATATATAACAATATTCTAAGTTATAATTTTTAGATATCAAAAAAATATATAATGTTAATCTTTTTCATAGTTGATAATAGAGAAAGTTTGGTTGCAAACCAATTTTAAGTTGTGACTTGGAGGACAAAGGATAATGCGACATGTATCTTAGGGTGTGGTCCCCATGTATCATTAATAATAAAGGTGAATGAACATTCGTGAACTATTCATCATAAATGATATATCATTCATGATGACTAATACATCATTCATGATCTATGATAATTTGATACATCATTCATGATAATTAACATGTGAATATCAATAACAAATGGCATACTTTCCGTAGAGGTTGTTTGGTTGATTTTCCATGAAGTCTTGAATGGATAAACTTGTATGTGTAGATTTATATGTCGTTATAGATTGAAAAACTTTTTGTTTGAGAGAGTTTTTCTATAGATGTAAGGAGTACGTTTTTTAATTTGGAGCGGTAATATTGGAAGAAAAAAAAACTTAGCTTTTTGCATAAAACTCTTTTAAAAACTTATTGAATAAACAATTTTCTATATAACTGAGTTACTAACAAACAGTCATATATATATATATATATATATGATTAAATAAACTGTGAGTCTCATTAAACTGCTAAAAAATAAACCGTTAATCCACAATCTAAAATTGATTTACAATCAAACTAATTGGTTATAAATATAGAGTTTGTTTCAAATGTAACTCATCACATTTGTACAACCAATGCAACCCAATAAATTGAAATATTTATGGAAATGATGAGAGTTTATTTATTATTATTTAAATATTTACGGAAAATGAATAAGGTTCATTAATTATAATCAATACTTTATATTAGAAAACAATCAAAACTTATATAAAATTACATATTCATCAAATTAAATAGATGGTTAAAATTGAATTATATTAATTATACAAATGTAACAGGTTGTATAAATATAAATATAAATATATAGATATAGACATG